TCACAAACACGACCTACTCACCAAGAGTGATCGATGCAAATTCAGCTGCAGCCTAAACAGTTTGCTCAAACCCTCTCTCCAGTATCCGTACTCTCGTTTAGCAAAAAACGTCTTACATGTTGAACAAAAGCAAACCCAATCTCGTCGATGTTGATTTAACATAAGTATTTTTTTTTAAATCTTGATTTTTAGATAAACGACCACTGGCCTCATTCACGTCTTCATAGTGTTTTTTGTTGCAAGAGTAACATATGATATTAAGCATTTCCTGCTGTTTGTCGAGCTAAAGGTTGTGTGACTGGGGATCTTTGTGCAGACTCGGAACTGACCTCAAGAATGCAGTGATTGTTTTGTATAGTCTAGTCACACTATTGTGGTGATAAAACAGCACATCTCTCCTGCATAAAACAGTGTACTATTCTGCTGCTGATGAAGAAAGCCAAGAGCGAGATGATCCTTTCCCTTTTAGTTCTGTATTAAGAATGGACAAGGCTCAATAGCTTGAGTATTGGTGTGGGTTGTCATCAATAGAAGTGACCCTGTGGTTGATTTGATCAGCCTTCATCGCTTCATCTAACTCGACAGTTGACCTTAAAGTTTTGCGTCCATGGAAAGACATAGTTGTTATAGCAACATATCCACATTTCACCTAAAGGGCAGAGGAAAACAGTTTACATTTCATTTCAGTAAAAAAAAAAAAAAAAAAGATGGTGCACTTTTATTTCTACATCACCAAAGGAATTCACACAGTTCAAAATTAACAGTTGTGCATAATTGCTAAATAGAAACTCCAAATACAGCTCTGCCCTTCATTTGAACCTCTTCCAAGGGTTTGCTGATCAGCCTGGCTTTCAACTGCCCATCGTGTTTTCCTTACTTCAATCTCACAGAGAAGCAGTGAAGTAAGGCAATAGCGATAAACTACATTTTAAAGTTGTTTTCATTCCATCATTAGAACTACTTTCCACAAAATAAGACCGTGTTTTAAGGGTTGTTTTGTGTTTTTTATTCTTGGCTGGTATTTCCCTGATGTTGCTAAGCAGCATGTCTGTGTTACTAAACATGTCTTGGAGACAGATTGCAGCCAACCAAACAACCATGCAATTGCCAGTGGCATAAACTGAACTTTTTGCTGTTCTTTTGCATGTTTTACTTAAGTGTTTGACACAACGGTATCTCTTGCTCCTTGGAGACTAATTTACTCTAGATCTTGCCTGTTGCAAATAAGACTTAGTTTAAATACTGTGTGTGAAGAGGAGCACTCAAAGACAGGGGAGGATGGGTAAAAAAGTGTATTTTTGGATTGCAATGTTGTCTATTGTTATTGATATATAATTAGACTGTCAAGCTCTTGTCCACTTAATTCTGTCTTGCCTCCAACACCTTATCCATATCAATGCAAAAAACTCTCAGCCAGGCTTTTGCATGTAGTTAAACTCTAGCAGTGACAATGGAGTCATCATTTTAATGTGATCAAATAATACTTATTGTTATACTGCCATGAATAAGCATCCCTGACATTGGTGAGGGGTGACCCTGACAGAAGCCATATTTTTCTGTGTGTCATCAAACAAGGCTTTTTGGCAAGCTGTATCAAGTCCTGTTCTGGTCTCTCATCTAACATTTACCAGCAGAATTAGTACAAATGTCTGGGGCTTTACATCACTGCATTAGTTTTATAAACGCATACCAACATCAGTGAGTTACAGTAAGTAGTATGTCTCCTCATTGGCGACCATGCCATTACATTTAACAAGTTATAGAAGATGAGACGTTTGAGTAATAATCAGAAAAACACTACAAACCTCCGGTGAAAGAAAGCAGAAGAAGTAAAAGCGGCAGCATAACAAATCCTGTCTGGCCATTTTTGACCCTTAACTCTATGGGACAGGTAGCTGATTTAGGTGTTTGTTCACATGTAGCTCCTATTTCAGCAAAATAATGAGACATATTTGCAGCACAAAAAGTAAGAAAGCAAGCCTCAGTCCTCAACCATCACAAACTTGTCTTTGTTTTGTTGCCCCAGGCTACCACCTCATTTCTGTAAGGATGAACAGTTTCTACTTAGTTCCTGGCTGCAGATGACTTTCTGTGAAAGTGGAGACTACTTACCTTCAAACATATTTGTCAAAGGATCCTGTAATGCCCTTAAAATGAATTTAGTGTCATTTTAACTATCAAGGATTTCTTGAGACTGTTCATTCAAAATCGGATGCCAGTGATTTGCTCTTGGTCTGCGTCAGCCTTTCCAGCTGTAATCAAATTTAGTTTCCTCGACAAATGCACTTCTGATCCAGATGAGTTCAGAGGAGGATTTAGAGACTCTTATGTAACCCAGTGAAAACTGGAAAATCCAAAATTTAGAGAGGATTAACACTTTAGTGTCCGTAAATAACTACAGCTTTAAGCAAAAGTCAGTTTGGAGACATGAATTACACCCTAACAGTGTAATGACGGACATGTTTTACAGAAGAGTTTAGCTGTAAAGACACTCCCACATCCTGACAGGAAGAGCTTCCTGCTTGTGTTGTGTTTGTTGTCCTTTCAGAAACATTCATGTCTCACTCACACTCATTCTTTCCCTTTGGCTCTTTCTGTCTTTTTCTCATTTACACAGTCTCCCTTTCTCTCCCTCTTTCTCCCTCTGTCTCTCTCTCTCCTTCTCTCTCACACACACAATGGAAAAAAACCACCAAAACATGTCCCACATCCTGTTCGGTGATTTTCTCATGTTGGTGAATCAGGCTGTTAAGCTGTCTGTTACCATGTGCTCTGTCATAAAAAATAATAAAGATTTGAAGAGCTTTAGAGAAGTTACACTGTAAATTCTGATATATAAGACACTTTTTTTGATACCTGTTATTTCATCCAGAAAGTAGTCTGCGTCCCATATACCTGATCGACCATTATACGAGTATAGTATGCTGAGACATGCACTGTCATTACCGCAAGTGCAGCAGCTGACGACTTGACGTCATTGAAAGTTCTCATTCATTGTATAGGCCGTTGCGAGCAGCCGCTTCACTGCTCAAAGGCTGAGACACACAACGATGCAGAGCAGGCTGTCGGTGCCACTTTTCAACTGCTTTTCTCCCTCATTAGATCATAATCCTGCATTTAAAGAAAAATGTGTTATATTATTAATTAATTAAACCTTGTGGAGAGATGGTTTTATTGAAAAGACTCCTCATTTAAAGACAATAAGTAACCAGCGGAGGTGCGCAGCATGACTTGCGGGCTGTGGATCCGTACTTCAGAACTATCCTCATAGGCAAGAGCTTAACTACTGTACCCGTAGCTAGCAGGAGTTCAAACTCCACATGGTGAAAACAGATGTTACTAGAAAGAGCTACAGAAACTGCATGTTGTTGACTTTGCTAAATCATCACACAGGGAAAAAAAGTTTAAACCTTTTATACCTCTTTATAATACCGGTGTGACTCATACTACTGATTTTACAGTACCTTTCTTTAGGTTTTGGATTGGCTTGGACCTTAGTTCTGGCCATTTATCTGAAACTGGCCAGCTTTCTGTTATCTTTGGAAGTGGTCTGTTATTGTAAGCACAGAGCTCTGGGACTTGTAGCGTTTGAATGGGTTTGTTTTCCAAAGCTCTGTGTCTGCCAGCAGATTCTTGTCCTGGTGAAGATTTTAGCTGAACCAGCTACAAAGTCAGTTTATTTTATTAGTATGTCATATTTCTCTATGGAAGCAGCACTTTCTAACTGTACCACGAGGAAGCGTCTTACTATTTCAGATGTTTAGTACTTGGCACAACAGAAGATGAAAATAAACTGCTCATCTTAGAAAATAGTCTTGTGAAATGTCGTAAAGTTTCTTTGTTCCTTTTGTTATGATTCATGAAGTATATTTGTGAAATCTGAAAATTTGCTTTTAAATATTTAACAATTTTTAGCATGGTATGATGCTTTGCATTGAAGGGATTTGAATATCAATCCCTGGTTCAAATGGTCACATATGAATAAGTGATGCGTTTTAACCAATATTGTATTTAGTGTACAATTACATTTCTTAATTGGTTAATGATGATCCCAGATGTGAGGAGGACTGACATGGGGATGAGTTGAAACGTTTCTGGGGGCTCCCTTTTTGCTTAAAATAATCTCTCGCTGGTGGCGCAATGGTTAGGGCGCACGCCCCGTGAATTGAGGCTGTCGTCTCGAGCGGGAGGCCCGGGTTCACTTTCACTTCCTCTTTCCGCATGTTATTCCCCACACTCTCTCCCTGGTTTCTGACTCTATCCACTGTACTATCTCTGCATTAAAGGCACAAAAGCCCAAAAATAAATCTTTAAAAAAATAAAATAAATAATAATCTCTTGGCCAACAGAATTTAAATGTAGTGAAATAAAATGAGCTCTCAGGTCATGCCTGACAATCTGATCATACAGTGTGAACACCTAAATAACGAGGTCTGGTCGTGTGTTGTAATTGATCCGGTTGTACAGTGTGAGCTGACATGCCCTGACTGTTATCGTCTGAGCCAAGAGTGAACCATTGAATCTGTGTCACCACACTGCATATCCATACGATTATATCATGTATAAATAAAAATTTCGAGTCACAACATGTATTGCTTATGCTCCTTTTTATTTTAAAGTATCTATGCTATGATGTCAATAAATCCCACAAAAGACCCTTGAGGCAGTGGATAGTGAGGGATAGTGAGAACACACTTGCAGAGTGAGAGAATCAAACACATCTGCCGTGGCAGAAAAAAAAGCTCACATGATCTCAGTTTGTTCTGGCAGCTTTGCAGGAGCTTGTGGATAGAAGGCCTTATTTTTTCATGTCTTTTGAAAAGCTCCAGTTTCTAAACTGTGTGTTGATTTTTATCTAAGTTCTCCTCTAAGTATACCTGTAATCTTGTTACTGTGATTTTAAACCTATTTGCTGATGCTTTCTCACCTTAGCACTCTGTCCTTGAGATCATCTTCTAACAAGCACATGTTACATGTTCCTCTCTGCTCTTTGCACAGATATGATGAGACGAGTTGTACGGCAGAGCAAATTCCGTCACGTCTTTGGCGCAGCGGTGAAGAACGACCAATGCTATGATGATATTCGGTGTCAAGGGTCACATGGGACAGCTCCTTCTGTGCAGTCAACCCAAAATTCGTTGCCATAATTATCGAGGCCAGTGGTGGCGGGGCTTTCCTTGTTCTCCCTCTTCACAAGGTAAGTTTATGACGAATCGTTAGGGTTGAAACAGTTTATTATAGGCTTGACTGAGCACATCAGTCAACATTGGCCTGTGAGACAACAAGGTGGAGGCTAAACCAGATATGTAGGCTTGTTTGCATTTACAGCTTGTTTTGTTTATACAGTAGTACACACTCAGAGCATGACAACACAATTCTTAATATTGAAAATAGTAGTCAGAATATTTGAAACTTTGATACTTTTTCATTGCTCATGTATTAATGTGATACCATGTCTGTTATTTTAGTAATTGATGCCACGAAAGCCTTAAAAAAAATACAGATCTTCAGTACTATTAATAAGCCAAACATATCCATACAATTATTGTATGGATATTTAAAAATGTGGTATCATTGCAGCCCTGTCTTAATGTGTCTTTTTTTAAATTGCCCTGCTGCACACTAGTTAATATCAGTGAAAACAGACTGCTGTGATATTTAAAATCATTTAAAACTTTGGTTTCACCTACACATTTAATCGAACTACTGGTTAGGTATTATGTGGCTGAGGTGCAGATTTTGAGATTCATTTCTAGTAATATTGGCATCCTGTATTCACGCACAATCGGTGGTGTTCATCTTAATGATCTAAATTTTAGTTCCCTGTCCTTAACAACAGGTCGATGACCCTGCACATTCTGATTGAAAACTGATTTGAGGGTAGCTTTCTTGTCCTTTTTATGAGAAAAAGCCTTCTCGGACATGGTGTAATGCTGACCTTTTGAAGGCATGGTGTGTCTTTGAGTGCGGTAATGCATGTGATATTTTGTTACCCTTGATATCAGATGATCAAATTTCACTGAGATATTTTAGGATGGTGGATGGTGGGAACATCTTGATATTGTCCTCATATCAGTGATGACATGAAGGCTCTTAGAGATTGAATTAGGACTGACACGAATACAGACATAACTCACCTAAAAGTTAAACAGTTGAACCAGATGTCTTGATTGCTGTCAGAATTTAAAACTTTGACAACATTCTAGAGAAAATTAGACCTGGTGTCCATGTATTTGTGCAATTTACAGTGTCTTCAGTTGTCCCCAGAATAAGGTTATAGACCCATTTTACATATTGTATCTCAATTATCACCCACAACCCCATTTTTATTGTTTTGCTTTTGATACTATTGATCATTAAAACAAGGGAGATTGTATCATTTTGAAGCTTGGGGTGAATATTTGGACAATCTAACTGTCTTCTGCTGGTTAGAGTTGAAGCTTGTTTGCTATGTTTTGTTTACAGTAAACACTCATTTGCTTTGAGGACTTTACCTGTTGTAGTTCGGACTGCTGACTCTCCATGTTAGTGTACCTTGGGATTAATGTTTACCAGCGGGCTGTTGCACACACCCTCATGTGTACAACAGAAAGTACTCCAAAGCCCTGGAGCCAACAGTCTTCTGATCCTTACCTCCATATAAGGAATCGCTCAACTCCAACTAGAGTTACATTTGGGTTGGGCAAGACAGCTTTTCAGATTGTTTAGCTGTAAACAAACAAGTTCGCTGGATGAACACGTCTCTCCCCTTTGTTTGAATACTGATGTCATAATTGGTCTAATTAAAGTTCAGTAGAGGTCAAGGGGTTCTGGCATATCCCCTAGAGAGCCCTTGGGTGCCATTACAGATGATATTTGTGAATTACTGGCTGCTCTTGTTTCTGAAAGGCAACTCTGAGATATGGCCAAGTGGCAGGTCCTGACACTGTGAGTGACATAAGTACTGCAATACTGTTGACAGATTTAACCTGGGCCTGTAATTAGTGTACACCAGTGCATGTGCACCAGCTATGTCATCTGAGAAGGCCCTGGCACAGGCGACCGGATCCTTAGGCCTGTCATCACACAGCTTCCACCTCTCAGCACCTCATTCAATACGCAGCTCGCACTGGAGGTGGGCTACGAGCTCGACCGGTTTCACACTCCCTCTGCCTCCTCCCTCCCCTCTGTGTCTGTGTTTGAATGAGCTGCCCTCTGCTTGCCTTGTCCCAGTACAGTTATGGCGGGTCTACTACTGAACAAAGTCTACTTTGACTACTGCTTTAAAGTTGTGAAAGACTGAGGTCTTTATGTGCTGAGTGAACCTCGGGCAGTTTCCTCAAATAAGAGATTAAAACAGCTCTCTTGATTTTTGGATCTTCCCACATGCAGGCTGGCAGGCGAGACCCAGACTAATCCTTCAGATTTGGTGTTTTCATCATTTCAACAGTCCTCACATTGAGACTGTGGAGCCGCAGGGGGGGAAATACCATGCCATTTAAGCATTATAGTATGTTGTTTATTTTCATTCGTGTGTTTTTAAAAATGTGACGTGTACTCATTGCTAGCTGCGCCCAAGAGTCAGTTGTAGGTAGGAAGGGATAGTTTTCATTTCACATCTCAAATAAATGGGCATTCCCCTTTTAATTTCTTTCTATTTTTTACTTTAACAACTATTTTTGGCGTTTATCACCACAGTATTTTTCTGACAAAGCAGGTCCATCTGGAAATCTCAGTATAGCCTCAGCTGGAAATGCAGGTCTCAAAAGTGGGGCAGGTCAGTTCTTACAAGTGATATTACTAGACTGCACTGCAGTGGCCTGGTAATACAGAGATGCTCTCAGCACCTGACATCATTTGTAATAAATTGAAAAAATGAGGACCATGATGTGATGCCTGTTAAAGTAATTTGTAAGTGAGCTGTAGATTTTCCCATCTGGTATCGTGCATAAGGGACAAAGTGTCTGTTTTACTTTAAGAGTTCTGCGTTTTGAATAAATATTTGGGCTTGATTCAAGGACACTTGCTGTTTTAATCACCTGGTCCCATTTTAATTTTTTGTTTCCAGACCCCACATTTCCGCCACGCCCCCACCCTCCCATCCTCCCACCCTTTCCCATCCCTAATGTGAGGGTGCATCTGTCCAGCTAACCCATCTGCCTTTGCTGTGTCGGTCCCAGTCTCTGTGGGCAGCCAGCTGCTCAGAGCCTTTGTCCCAGGCTTTCTCCCAGCGTAGCCCTTTGTCATTACCACACTTTGGCTGAGGGGGGAGGCATGAGTGTGATGATGCTCCTTCCCCCTTCACAATTAAGCCATATGCAACTGTGTGCTGCCTTTGTTGTAGCAATGCATTAATGGGAGGAGAATGAATTATTAAATCATGAGCCCCATAAAAAGCATTGTACTGTCTGCTCTTTGTCATGATTCATGTATATATGAACAAACAGGAAATCATTTTTTGGAGTTCAGAGGTTGATGTAGTGGATTTGTGCCCTGACCTGAGGTCTGAGACTCAGTTTGAGTAGTCAACCATTGGAGCCATCTCTTTGTTTGACTCAGGAGGGTGAGGTTAGTGCGGCAGGCCGCTGTGACTCAGCACAGCCATGAGTATTGTTGCTTCCTCCTGTCAGAGCACAGGGATTTATAGAGAGGGCATCAGATGTCCAGCTCAACACGTCATTCCCCAGCCTCGTGCTTTCAATCTCCCCCTTTCTCTCTCTTAGCGGGATGCCTGCTAATTTATTCCCTGATTTCCATATGAAGGAAGCTGTGGGAGTGAATGCAGCAGCTAGAAAGTGTTCAGTGAAACATTCCTGATAATTCCTCTCTGTCTGCTCAACATTAGGGGAAATGAAGTCTTAGTAAATCATTACAGATGATGTGATTTATTTCCTTTATCTAGAAACTGTCTGATTGTCTGACTATCTGTCGTGCAGTTGTCACATTTTCCATTCTGTCTCTCCTTTTCACCTATCAGTATTTTCATCCTGCGTTTGCCTGTTTCATTATGGATTGACCAAAACTACAGCCCAAACACTTCATAAAGAAATGCTTGATATAAACGCATATTCCATGTTGAAGCACTGTACAGAAGATGATCAGATGTGGTGTGTGTTTGATTTGGATTCAATCCCTCTATGCACCATTCATCCAGTGCTCAACCCTGGCTGTTAGTAATCCCTGGGTGTGTGCACAGTGACACAGTACTGTTGTTCTGTCTTGTATACACCAGTTTGGCTGCTAACTAAACTTTGCTCTATCCATAAACACATTATTACTCTAGGTGTGCATAATATCCACAGTCTTTCCCCATACTTTTGTCACTTTGTGTTCCAATAACTGTACTGCTGGGTTGCCTCTGCCTTTGCTGCTTCTGCCGTTCAGTCGTGCTGACTGCAGATTTTACCATATATGGTCATTCACTGCTCCCTGCCTGACAGCCTTCCAAGACCATTTCCTCCCTGCATTGCCATTGGCTGCCTCATGCAGTGTCAGTACACATGTGAATTCTGGGATAGGCCGAATTATGAAGAGCGGCCAAGATGAGAGAACTGGGCTGAAGTCAGATATTGTCTCTGTCACAGAGTCACTGACTGTGTCCAAGTGCTATGTCAATTATCATGCTAATGTAATAATCAGTATGGCTTCTGGATTAATGAATAATGTATTATTAGTGTAAATTTATTCATTCATAATTCATAATCTATCGTGATAGAGCTGCGAGTCCTGACATTTTCTAGCTGCACACTTTAAGACAAAGCTATATTCTGTTGAAATAACAGATGGTGTGTGTGCAAGGCCTTTTTCATGTCATCTTTTGCGTTTAGAATCTGCTATGTAGGAGAAATTAATTCACAAATTAACTTCAGTTGCACATAAATATGTTTATCTAGCAGGCAAGAGCTTAAATTTTCAACTTCATTTATCTTAAAATCAGTATTCCAGTAGGTCTTTTGTTTTGGTGCTGAAATGAATCAAAGTGTTCACAATTGAGACAGGAAGATTTGGAGACATTATCATAACACTGACATCCTTCCTTCCCATATAAGTAATTTCCCCTTGTGGGATTAATAAAGTATGTCTGCTTCTTCTTCTTCTTCATATAGATCGACTAATGAGATACCAGGATTATGTTGTACTACAGCATTCCAGTTGCACGTCGTTGTATAGGTGTATCTGCTTTATCCTTTTAGCTCTTCATCAGCTCAGGTGTCCAGT